TGAGCACTCTCAGCGATTTTCTTCAATCGAGGAAAACCGCCGTCCTTTCATGGGTCTCTTCAACTTTGGGAATAGGAAAAAGTCACACGGAGCCATATCTGGTGAATTTTTGCACTTTGCAACACTTTATTTCATTTTTTACGCAAAATTTAATACAAATTCTTTGACTTTTCAATTCTTCCATTGTAAAAATCGCCGAGCTCAGAAAAACACGTCGAACCTTAGCGACTACCACAGACAAAGTAAACAGTGAATATAGCTGAAAATGTCATCATACTTTAGGGGCATGTATACCAACACAATAAAAAAAAATTTGACAATCAGACACTCCAGACCCGCGAAATTTAATTATTAGTAATTCCGGGTACTTTTTGAACACACCTCGTATATCTGATTATCATTTTTGACCGCCAAATGGCATTTTTTTGTACGTTTTCTGTTGGATCTTCAAAACCGCTGAAATTTAGTCCAACTGATAAACATTGATACAGAACTTTTTGAGAAAAAGTTGGGAAACGTAGTTCAATCAACGTTATTAATCCCGAAATGCACTAGTATTAAATGTAAATGTATTTTATTTTTACGCTTTAAGAAAGCAATAAGGAAAAATGTAGCCATATGATTACTTGAATATCAGAGGTAGAAATTTATGGTGTCCATGTGCATAATGAATTTTCCTAAACGTCTGGAGCTTTTAGTTCTAAATGCTTTGTGCTGTTCTTGAACGCAGCCTTTTATAATTACTAATAGAGACTTTTGTCTTAGCTATAGAAGCGAAAAACTTTTCACCGCTGGAACGAAGTGCAATTTTTTATATTACTTCAAGTTTTATATTATGTTCATATATTATTCAAATGAACGTCTATCATATTGTTCTAATGGCATTGTGCCTTAATTTTTAAAAAATATAATTTTTTTTAAATATTTTTTTTAAAAAAGCTTTGAAAAAACTGAAAATTTAAAACTTTGATTTTTTTCCAATCTTTGTTTTTTCAATATATTTAAAAAAAATACTTTTTGAATAATCTTTTTAGGTGTCGTGTCGCAGGCTAACGGATAAACATTACATACGGAACTCATAGAAATGTAAACAAAATTTGTACTTATTCTTAACCCTTACGGGACGGCACCGATTTTAAAACAATCTACTGTACCGGCTGTAAACTTGATTTCATTGTGTATGTTACGCAATTTCTGTAATAAAAAATTGTGGTCATTGAAAGACACACATTTATAATATTAATTCATTTTTGATCATTTTATAAAGAATGGTGACGTTCAAAACAATTTCCAAAATGCATAGCTGGTTGATTTTGACATGTTTTACAATTAAATGTTGTTCGCCGCCTTCCTTCTGGTGCTTTTCTGTCAGAACAGACAATACAATCCCTTTTTCTTTCTTTCATATTTAGAATATGCCCCTGATTAGTCAGTATATTTGTTAATTTTTTTGTTGCCTCGGTCGTTTTAAATATTAAAAAAAAAACTATATAGCAAAGAAAAAAGGCTAAAAGTACTACTAAAATAACTTGTATTATTTTCAAAATACAATACTGTTTATCACTGCTATATATAATTTATTCAACATTTGGATGCAAACCTAGTCATTGTTTATAAAATAGCCTGTGCCTCACAGAATATGTTTGCCCACTCAGGTGGACAGCAGTTCCCAAAAAGTTAAAATCTTTCCAAAATATCTGAAAGTTTGATGTGCATGTGTCTAATGATCCTTTTATACCGCCAAATGCCATTTTTGTACTTTTTTATTGGGTCTACAAAACCGCTGGACCTGCCTTTCCAAAATTTAATCAGTTGTTCATTTTGTCAAGATTTGTATAGTTTGATTGTAAAATATTTTTTGAATCATTGAAATTGGATGCTCCGTTCTCTCAAAAACTGTATTAGTATTTGTGGAACTTTTTGTCCCGTAACGGCTGGATCGTTTCTTATATAATATTCAGTTAATTTTAATTTAAATTTATATTTATATATTTAGTTAATCGTATGTATATAATATAAGAGCAATTACTGAAATCAATAGAAATTACTAATATTAATATTGAAAGTAGTACGATAAAAACAGAAATCATTAACTTTGATACGATTTGAGTATATGACAGTGCGAATGTACGATTTTAAAGGCTGTCTTTAACCCAATATTTTTGAAATACAAAGTAGAATTTATGTGAATATATAAATTGTTTGCTTAATCATTCGACTCAGATGGTCGTTAAATTTAACCTTTTGATGTTGAAATTGTTAAATCCGTAGTGTTTTTACAAGGATAATGATGTATTAGAAAAATGAAAGTTTTAATACTTTTAAATTCGAATTTATATATTGTATGGTGTTGTTCGTGTTGTCGTCTTTTCCTTCTACTCGTGCATATACATTTGGTTGGTATTGAATGTCATGGACCGGTCTGTGTTTAATAAAAAAAATAGTTCTCGGTTGACTTATGTTTATGCGCGAGCATGTATGCGATTGTTCGTATGGTATGAGTGCTTTTATGTTCCCATGTTGTGTAAGATATTATATAGAAGAGCTTTTGTTATCTTTCGATTAATTTTTTTTTAATAATTTAATGTATTATTAATATTCAAACTATTTTAACAAATATTATATTACAGTAACCAATTGCTCAGCTATTATTAAACGCTATATCTATGGTATATAATTACTAATGCTATGTCTATGGTATAGAATTTTAAATAGGATAAGCAGAAAAGCAAATTCTTGTACATATATAGCAGCTTGGATATCTTAATTAATTTTTTTGTAGTTTTAATGTTTTTATTTTACTTTGAATGTAACAGAAACGTTTATAACAAGCGTTCACAGAATTGATAGTTCGGCGATTAGGATTAGCCATTCAAATTATAAAGAAAATATTCGGATAATATTAGTGAAGTAAGGTATTACATATTACTAGAAATTGATACAGTATAAATCATCTTCATAATATATGTTTGAATTAAGTGAACTCTATATGTGCTAAAGCGCTTTTGCATGGGGCGAAAATAACAAAACCTGTTTTTGAGACCAGCGCAGGTAGTATATCTACCCATGTGCGTTTTTTCTTGATCTTTCAGTTTTAATATAAACACGTATACACACATGTATATATATATATATATATATATATATATATATATATATATACATATATATATACGAGTATATATATATGTGTGTTAACTAAGTCTAGTAATCGGGCTTATCATCAATGAAAAACAAATTTCTTTTAATAATTTAAATTAATAATTTTTAATTTTTACATCCATACGTTACGGCATTCATTTCGTGGAAACTAAAAATAAAATTTAAAAACTAAAACAATTGAATTCAAAAAATCATAAAGATAAAAAGTACTAATGATTTGTTAATCTTAGTGTTAAAAACACTAATCCTGATTTACCATATCGTGATATCATGGATTATTGAATTTTCCGTTTTTAACACTAAGATTAACAAATTTTTATATTTATTATTTTTGTAATTCAATTGTTTTAGTTTTTTAATTTTATGTATAGTTTCTACCGAATGAAGGCTACGATTATAGGCGAAACGTGTAATAATAAATTCTTAAAAGAAATTTGTTTTTTATAATCATACAAAATATATATATACGAGTTTACAACTGAAGTGATAACTATCATATGATTTTATAGATTTTTATAAATTCTTCAAAACAAAAATTCTAGTCAGAATGAAATCTCAAAAGTATGTTATTATTGTATTGATTTATCATTAAGTGACGAATTGTCCAATGAACAATTTTTAACTTCCCGTAGGGCAAGTTATAGTAATCGCAAAAAAATCGAAAATGAAAATTTTTATAGATCTTTACGTTTCAAAACCTTCTGAACATTTTGGCATACCTTAGAAAAAATGGATGTGTGTGTGTGTGTGTGTGTGTGCGTGTATGTATGTATGTTCGGATACAAATTTTCGTCGATGATTTCGGGAACACGGATCAATAGATTTGAATAATTAAAACATTCGATTCGTATTGATAACGAGACGTGCTGATTTGTTTTTGGCGAAGGCAGATCTAGCCGTTCCGATGATACGGGGCAAAAAGTGCCGAAAACAGTAACTCAGTTTTTAAAAGAACGGATCGTCCGATTTGAATAATTCAAAAAACATTTTATTTGTATTGACTAAATGAAGAACTGTTCAAATTTTTGAAAAGGCAGGTTCAACGACTTTGGAGATATGGAGGAAAAAGTAAAAAAATGAGCCATTTGGCGGTCAAAAATGAACATTAGACATATGCACATCAAATTATCAGATATTTTATAGAGATTTTAACAATAAGTATAAATTTTGTTTACATTCCTATGGATTCCGTACCAATGTTTACGCGTTAGACGGTGACGCGGCGCTTACGCGCTTCGATATTTCGTCTTTATGCAGTTAAAGCAGTACGATAGCTTTGAAAAAAAGTTCAGAATTTCCCAACTATTTTAAAATAAATGATTTAAGAGAGAATAATTTAATATGGTTCAAAATTCTATTAAAAGTTTCAAATCATTGATCAACTTTTATTGATTATTATTATTGATTATTTTTAATTACTCGAATTTTGAATTGCGTTACGGGAAGTTCCAGCAATTTGCCTTAAGGCACGATGCCCTAATTGCCTTAAGACAGAATTCCACTTACAGCTAGTTGGTTCTATTTTTGTTTAAATGGCATATCGTGGAATAGGTCAAATTGAAATCTTTGTCTATCGCAAATATTTTTTTTGTTAGAATCGCTTGGATGACTCATCCAAGAAAATGTGTCTTATTGCAACTTCTAACTTTTGAAACTTCTAACTGAACAAGATCATAACTGGAAAAGAAAGCAAGTCTGGCAACGCTGTACAAGTGTATTGTGATGCGCACGCACGTTTGATTTACGCGTCCGAGTTGCTCGTCTGCTATCAAATGGAAGTTCTGTGTGACGTTCGGTTTCACTCGGCTCTTAACGCAATCGTTTGCCTTCGCCGCTTCGACCGCTCTCGGGATTTTTCCGTTCCCTTCGAGTCAGTTCGAGTCCGACGAGCGTGAGGTTAGGTGGTGCTATCGGTCAGAAAGAGCATTTCGAGTGTAGCTGTATGCGGTGCGCGTTGTTAGTGAACACAGCGTTAACGAAACAGCTCTAGCGAAGTGTTTTTTCGGGAAAAGTAAACGGGCGCGGTTTTATTGTGTTCCCTCGTTTGAAAAGTGAATGGAGATCGAGTTTGTTGTACAACCGTACATAAAATAATGTTGACTTCTAAAGTGATATAAAAGCAAATGTAATTTAGAGTGAAATATTATGATGATAGTGTGCAAATGCTAAAGGGCTATTAGTTAATAACTTAATGTTTAAAAACGTTAGTGATTCAGAAATTTTATTAGCTGGATTTTAGGAATCTTAATTTTATAAAATGGAATTGGCTCGTAAAAGGTGAGTTTTAGTCATTTTATAACACTGAATATGTTCCATGCGTTGCGAAAGAATTTACGTTTCCATTTTTTTTTTGCTACTCTTTGTTTTTTACCCCAAAGCGGTATATATTAGTCATTATGTTCGAATTACGTATCAGTTATGACGAATATGTTAGCGTCACACTTCTGTTCGCATGTGTGAATTACGCGCATAAAACGTTGCTAGCAAGAAGTAGATGCTTCGGTGATATTTTCAATCCTTCCTTTAATAGAGAACACATTATTCCATTGGAAATGCATTGTTTGTAGATTTTTTATTCAGGGTTATTCCGTTCCCTTACATATGCTACATAGATATTAATTACGTATTATTATGTGTCCGGATTAAATTAAATCGCTTCCTTAAACTTTAATTGTGCAAAATATCAGGAATAAAATTTAAACAAAAAGTGAGTTTTTTTGTGAGTTATTATTTTGACAGAGCTATCAATCTTTAATGAATTTGATTTTTATTACGCCGCACAATGTATTCGCTTTTTATTGCTGATCCAGATGTATAGAACCTTATGCATCGGTAACAGTATATATGTTGGATTCTTAGATTCTTGCATATGTTTCAGTGCGTGGTTTTATTTCTGTAGGTATCCAAAACCAACGTGCATGAATATTGTTTAATATTCTTAGCGGTAAATGCAATGACTCAAAGTTTACATATCGTATATTTTCCGTAGAAAAAATGCGGCGCATATGTCGATTTTATAACATCTTCTGAGTAAAGTCGATATGCCGCACGCATATAATGTAGCATTGATGAACGATATAAATTCGATGATTTTGATATTTTTGTTTTTTTAACTGTAGGAGTATCTTAGACATTCGCTACACACACTCATATTCCTGGTTTTACTTAGATTGCGCATTTTTTTATGAATTAATTATTAAGTGAAACATTTGTAAATCGCAAAGGATGATAGATATTTTTCTTGTACTTCATATAAATTATTGAATTTCGGAATCGACTTTTTCTGTGGAAACTTAGCCTTACATGCTTTTTAGACCCGTGTTGAAATATGCGCGATAACCTTTATTTTTGAGCTGTCATTCCAATTCTGTTTGCTATTTTTCTTCTTTCTTTAGTTTTTCATTTTATTTACTATACTAGTCATTGCTTTTTAGATTGTCGTGCTGATAAACTAATAAAGAAAACAAATCTTAATACATTTAGTGAATAACATTTTTTTCTAACATTTTTACAATTGATTTTCTAGTTAATTTGCGCGTTTTTTGGCAAATTCTCATAGAAGACTATTGTTTTATCTGATGTACTCTGAATTGTATCCGATAGTTGATTAGTCTATAGAAAGTTTGTGTGCTCACTCGCCTGTTATTATTTGAAGGTAACATTGAATTGTGTGGAAATATTGAGAAAATGTAAATGTCAAGACTCTCGTATTTGTATTAATATTCACACAGATAAATAGCGTAACGAATGCGACTATGTTTGTTATTTGTTGAATATTTTGACATCAATTTTGAATTCAAACATCAAACATTTCTGTTTTATTGCGTCGCTAATATTCACAATTGGTTGTCCATATTAAATTTAGGCCATCAAAATTTATTACTGTTTTCAATACTGTCGTACTTGTGAATATTTGTGGAATTATAAAAAAAATGCGAGAAAATCATGTAAAGTTTGCTCGGAGAGTTAGTCGTGACGGAACCGGTAAGGACGTGAGGTAGCTTCAACCGTACCCGGGTTCGATTCCAACCTCGGCCTATCTATAAGATATATATATATATATATATATATATATATATATCTCAAGTGTAAATCGCCTTTCGCGGGCATTGCTATTGCTGTGTCACATATAATTCAACATAATAAATAGCAAATAGAGTGGTTAACCACTTGGTTGCCGCTCTCGAATGGACAAAGAACACATTGTTTCGATTGCTGTTAAAAAAATTCTAAAACATAATATTTTTACATTTAAATGTCATATGACGTATCATTTTTATTATTATTTATATTTATTTATTGAACGAGATCAAATATACAAGATATTGCACGTTTGGACTCCTACTTACAATCATTTGGATATTACTCAGTCTTCTGTGTTTGTTCACATGCATAATATACATTGAATCTTCTATGTAATTTTTTTTTTATTTTCTTATAAATTACAATCTGTCTAAATAAAAAAGACATTGAGTAATTAGTTTGACAAATAACATTAAATTATAAAAGGAAAACCCAGTGGTTCACCTTTTATTAGTGTACTAAATTATATTATAATTTTGGTATAATAAAGAAAAAAAAAGAAACTCAAATATACATACAATTATAAACAAAGTAAAAAACAAAACAAACAACACACCTATTTGAAATAATATTGTAGAACAACTCATTACTGATTAATATGTTAGATTTATTAATTGCATTCTTTTTAATCTTATATTGTGTGTGGTGTTGTAAAGACTTGCAATCAGTTCCTTTGGATCTATGTAAATTTAGAGCTGTATTAGTTCATTTAAAAGTATCAAAGTAACTATTTGATTGATGAATCTTCTTAAACTTTGTCCGCATGTGCCAAAATTTACAACAAAAGTAATTAAAAAATATATTGAAAATATTATGTATGTAATAACAGATTCAAAGTACCTCAGCGAACTGGTCACACCTTTTACATTACAATTTTATAATCAAATGTTCACTGTATTACTAACATAAAACTACAGGTAGTATTTATATAAGTAATACTAAATATATGATTAAATAGTGAAATTTTAATATAAGCCATTAAAACAAATTGTTGCAAGCCACTAAACCGAAACAATTATTAATAAAGTATTATGTAGTACGAGTTTTTTTTTAATTATTGTGTTTGTGATGTTTGTCCTGACTTCCCATCTGTTCAAAAAGTACCCGGAATTACTAATAATTAAATTTCGCGGGTCTGGAGTGTCTGATTGTCAAAAATTTTTTTTTATTGTGTTGGTATACATGCCCCTAAAGTATGATGAAATTTTCAGCTATATTCACTGTTTACTTTGTCTGTGGTAGTCGCTAAGGTTCGACGTGTTTTTCTGAGCTCGGCGATTTTTACAATGGAAGAATTGAAAAGTCAAAGAATTTGTATTAAATTTTGCGTAAAAAATGAAATAAAGTGTTGCAAAGTGCAAAAATTCACCAGATATGGCTCCGTGTGACTTTTTCCTATTCCCAAAGTTGAAGAGACCCATGAAAGGACGGCGGTTTTCCTCGATTGAAGAAAATCGCTGAGAGTGCTCAAGGACATATCAAAAAGTGAATATCAAGGGTGCTTCGAAAATTGGAAAAAACGCTGGCATAAGTGTATTATATCTGGGGGGGACTACTTTGAAGGGGACCACATTAATGTAGACGAATAAATAAATATACGAGGAGGATAATATACGAGTATATATATATATATATATATATATATAATTAAATATATAATTTATTTTTTTCAACTTTCCGAAGGGTAAGTCATTGTAATCTTCCAAAAAGCGAAATTAAATTATGGCTTACTTAGAAATAAATATATGTGTGTATATGTATGCATGGATACAATTTTTCGTCCACGTTTTCGGGTGCACGCGTCGACCAATTATTTGAATGGTTCAAAAAAAACATTCGATTCCTATTGATAGGGAGATGTGTTGATAAGTTTTTAGCAAGCGCAGGTCCAGCCGTTTCGGAGATACGGAGCAATGAGTGCAGAAAATGGAAATCGAGTTTTTGAGAAACGGAGTATCCGTTTTGAATGATCCGAAAAAAAAATTCAATTCATAATGATGGGGAGAAGTGGTAATTACTTGTTGGCAACGGCAGGTCCAGTCGTTTTGGAGACACGGAGCTAAATGTGTATAAGAATAGCTGTTTTTGAGTGAACTTAGCATCCGATATGAATGATTCTGAAGTCCTTTCTGATGATATTGACGAAACGATTGCTTTTGCGGAAAGAAAAAAAAATCAATATTATTTTTTGAATATTAAAAATAATTCAGATTTTAATTTCAATTCTTGCTAAAGTTTGAAAGCTCACTTATATACTTTAAATAAATAATTTTAACTTTGCAATTTAGTTTATAAAAAGTCGGCGATTGGTTAATTTTTTTTTATTCACTTTTCTGTAAACATATTTACACCTCGTCATCCAATTCATAAACTCTTATATTTCTATAGAATAAGAATAATGAAAGTTACAGTATTTATAATAATCTATTTGAAAACAGTTATAATATTATTAGCTCATTAACTTTGAAAAGTCAGTTAATATTGATATTTAAGTTTCAGCAACTTTCCTTAAGGGGATTTCTGTATTTCAGCAATTTCTACTGTAGAATTTTGAAAAAATCGAAATTTTTTTTTTCATATTTCCAAAGTTTAGTTATTCAAAAATATGTCATTAAAAGGATTTTTCAAAATTACTATTATTTCCTGAGTTATATCTGTTTTAGTGACATGGTCTCGGTTCGGGTCCGACCGAGTCTCAAAACTTTGAACGCGTTTTTCTCGGAATTACTTTTTTCGAGCTGGCGGTAAGGATATCTCGAGTTCTAATGAACCGATTTACTTCAAATTTGGAGAGGATCTTCTCTATACATCGCTCTATCGCATGGACCTATCCCAAAACTATAATTTTTCATTTAGTATTTTTTAAAAATTCGGAATTGTTAAAAAAAAAACATGAAAAAAAATGTTTTTTTTCAAACTGCCGCCATTCAAACAAAAAAATTTTTTTTTAACTTATCCAAGGTTCATATGATAGCGGCATCTATAATAATTAAGAATCCATCTATTTTTTTATGTTTCGGATCACCAGGAGGGTTGGAATCATGCACGCCAGGACACCCTCTTTTTTTTTGAGCCCCCACTTTGACTGCTCATAACTTTGTGAATTCTAATTTTTTTTTTAATAATTTTTTTTATGTAATAATAAAATATCAATAAACAAATGATAAAAAAATCGATAGCAAAAATATAAGGTTGTCAAATATCTCCCTTTCGCCTTTTTGTATTATAAACCAAGAGCAAAAGAGCGGAAGGGAGATATTTGACAACCTAATATTATTTGTTTCCTTTATACAGCACTTTAAAAATCGGGCAAAATTCATGATTCTACAGTAGAATACCCCCTTAAGGCACTATGCCATACACCCCTAGTTACCTTTTTAATAAATATTTGGTAGTGAATGAAGCTTCGATAATAGTATCAGACGACTACTTCGCTTGATCTGTTACTAAATTGCAACTTTGAGTTGCAATATCATCGAACAGCTGTTATAGCGTAGTGTTTTGCCGACTGTGCTCAGACGTTCGTCTGGCACTTGTGCTAATATTACTAGCGGCTTGGCTTGGCTTTGGCATTATTTTCTAATGCTGATTCGACACACAGCTTCACAGCAAAGTGGTGCGGTTACGGCATAGACCGCACACAGCCCGTGGCCTGTCCTTGTCTCTTTCTGCTGTTTGTGTTAAGCTGCTTACGCGAGTAGCAAAGTTGTTGCCGTGCCGATGACACAACATCGCGCCTGACCTTGGCCGCGCTAGATATCTGTGACGTCATGAGTGTGTAGTTTATACGTGGGAATGTAGAAAAACTGTGACCATGGCCGCTATGAGGGAACTAGAAAATATTCTCATCGTTTATATTATTATAATATAATCATCGTTTTATTATTATTCTGTGAAATGCATATACATTTTCAGTAACTAGAAAAGGATTGATTAGGTATATCACCGGTAGCATTTTATTCTACAATCATGCGGAGTGTTATACAAATCATTAAGGGGGTATTCTACTGTAGAAGCATGAATTTTGCCCAGTTTTTGAAGCGCTGTATAAAGGAAACAAATAATATTTTTACTATCGATTTTTTTTATCATTTGTTTATTGATATTTTATTATTACATAAAAAAAATTATTAAAGAAAAAAAATTAGAATTCACAAAGTTATGAGCAGTCGAAGTGGGAGCTCAAAAAAAGGAGGGTGTCCTGGCGTGCACGATTCCAACCTTCCTGGTGATCCGAAACATAAAAAAAGATGGATTCTTAATTATTATAGATGTCGCTATCGTATGAACCTGGGATAAGTCAAAAAAAATTTTTTTTCATATTTTTTTTAACATATCCGATTTTTTTAAAATACTAAATAAAAAGTTATAGTTTTGGGAGAGGTCCATGCGATAAAGCAATGTATAGAGAAGATCCTCTCCAAATTTTAAGTAAATCGGTTCATTAGAACTCGAGATATCCTTACCGCCAGCACGAAAAAAGTAGTTCCGAGAAAAACGCGTTCAAAGTTTTGAGACTCGGTCGGACCCGAACCGAGGCCACGTCATTAAAACGGCTATAACTCAGGAAATAATAGTAATTTTGAAAAATCCTTTTAATGACATATTTTTGAATAACTAAACTTTGAAAATACGAAAAAAATTTTTTTCGATTTATTCAAAATTCTACAGTAGAATACCCCCTTAAGATCGTTTTATAACTGGTGAAATACATTATTATTGATATTTATATAAAGCATTTGATTGTCACAGAACGTGGACAATGCAATATTAATATAATAATAATACGAATATTAATATAATGCTATCTCGATCATTATTTATTAATTATTATAACTGAAATTTGATATTACAGTTCTACGTCATGAGAAATTTTACTTATAAAAGTAGCTTTTGATTACATTATATGTTTTACTGTCGAAACCTTGACGCGCCGATCCTAAATATTTCTTGGTGTACCCTTAGTTATTACTTTATTAAGCAGCCAAATATTATATTATTGTTACTATGTTCCTCTGCCAATTTAGACTTTATATTTAATGACATGAAGACATAATGAAATGAATTGTTTGATATTCAAATTTCTTTTAGGTTAAACTCTAAATTTAATTTAATCACTGTTCATTACAATTATCTAATGCCTAGATATACTGCTTCTTATTTGTATATGGATTAACCAATAAATTATATTTGCCCTACTTCATTTGAGGCACTTTGCATCTTATTTTCACATTTCACTTTTCTTAATTCTTTTATTCCGATTGTAAATATGAATACAATGGTTTTCGAAATGATCAAATTGGGATTGTGAAATAAATATGTGAATTTATATATATATATATATATATATATATATATATATATATTATAATAGTGTTATAATTTTTGTCGTGTTTATAACTCAGTATAATGACTTTAAATAAAGTTATTTTTTTAATTTATCTACAGATATAAGAGCGGGCGCGGCTCGTCATTGAGAGGAAGCGTTGATCGTAGAGCTCGTTATTCGGGTTCTTCAGTTTTGCATCATCATCACCATCATCACAATAATCAACCAACGACAAACTCCACTTATAACCAATCTTCAAACAATCAATTAACAACTCCTACTGGTCGTCAGCAGCAGACGAACGCTTGGCAGGCACAGCAGCAGCTCTTAGCTATTAGTGCGCAACATCATCAAACTCTTACTAGAGAACATCAGGAATTTTTTGGCAGTCAGGCAACAGACGTACGATTGGAGCTCAGAGAGTGTGCCTCAGCTAACGGTGAACATCAAAGACGCAAAGGTTTAGTCGTACAACAGTTGCAGAATCAGGCGCAGCAACCACTTGCTGTGGGAGCAGCGGCTGTGGTCGAGCAACATCTGGCAAGCGGAGCTGCGGGTAACAAACCCGGAGCTCACCCAGAGCACCGGCGCACCCGGAGCCGGGGAATGAATATGGGCCAAAAAATATCCGGCAGTAAGTGCTTTATACTTATCAAATCACTGATTCATGATTTGCGTAAACATAAATATCGAATAGCGTCGTAATATATTCGGAATTTTCTTAAAAATAACTAGTTATTAATATTGTTAATCATCGGTTTCTCAATGAATGCAAATCGTCATTTTTTAAATAGCTTTAGAATAAATTTGAGAAATAGCTATTTAATAAAGTGAGGTCATTATCTAGCGCGCACAATGCAATGATGTTTAATTTGTCTAATGTCTAATTTTTTTCAAGAACTTGAAGACCCACGAATTAAAACATGAATAAACTGATCACTTTTCTACAATACGTTAATACGGATACGGATTTTGTGGACAAACTGTGAATATACTGCAGTTCATATACAATTTTTACTCATAAAATATCGAAATGTTAATTGTTTTGAATACTAGCTGCACTTAATTAGGTGACTTTTATTTAATGTATGCTTTTAGTTTAATTTTTTATATAGATATCTTTTATATCCACTTTGCTATATAGATCAAAACATATTAAACAGTTATTTGAACTGATATAAAATTAAAACAGTTTTATTGTTAGCTTATTTTATATTTATGCGTTATAGTTCATGAAATAACAACTTAAATTAATTTGAGAGTGGTTTAACCCTTTATCTCTCATTGCATGACATTCGCACATAAATGAAAATGATTTTTATTTATGACAAATGGTTTATCCAAAATTAACATTGCAATAATTTATCTAAGTTTCACTTGCATCAAAAATAATTAATAAGATAGTTGATTGCTTTATAAGTGAAATAAAAAATGGTGTAATACCACTAAGCTCATTTATGCACTTTAAAGGTGTCAAATCCGTGAGTCGCGACTCTCCGGCACCCTACAAGCCGGTGATACCGCGCGAATTGGCTGCAGACTTTGCACGACCAGCTCGTCTCGATGTGCTGCTTGACATGCCAGCATGCGCTCGCGATGCTCAACTCCGACACTCCTGGAACGCAGAAGATCGCTCACTTAACATATTTGTCAAAGAAGATGACAAGCTTACATTCCATAGGCATCCAGTTGCCCAAAGCACAGATTGTATTCGAGGCCGTGTAGGTTTTACAAAAGGTAAAGGCATTTTATTTTTTATCAAACATAATTTATTATTTCGAAAAATTTATTGATAAACTGCTCAGCGCTTAAAGACAATTTTATAAGTCCATATAGGTTCAGTTTAGTACCTAATGCCTTACAAACAAGCCTTTTTATTATTTTCTTTTTTCTTTACTTTATTTTCATCTTTTTATTATTTTCTTATGAATCTCTTCATTATTCCTTATTATATTTATTTTCTCTAGATATGTTAATTTAATCATTTATTCTATTTATGCATATAATATTTAATTAAAATAAAATAAATAAAATAAAATCATTATAGGATTACATGTTTGGGAAGTGCAATGGTCAACTAGACAGCGTGGCACACATGCTGTTGTTGGAGTTGCAACATCTGAAGCTCCACTTCATTCTGTTGGCTATCAAAGTCTTGTGGGTTCCTCTGATCAATCTTGGGGGTGGGATCTTGGCCGCAATAAGTTATACCATGATAGCAAAAATACAGCTGGCGTCACTTATCCAGCTCTCTTAAAACCAGACGAGACCTTTGTTGTGCCTGATAAGTTCTTGGTTGTCTTAGACATGGATGAAGGAACATTAAGTTTTGTAGTTGATGGCCAATATTTGGGAATAGCCTTTCGTGGATTAAAGGGACGTAAACTTTACCCCATTGTGTCTGCAGTCTGGGGCCATTGTGAAATTACCATGAAATATATTGGTGGTCTAGACCGTAAGTATTCTCACTTATTCATCATATTTTGTAAAGCACATATTACTGCTCAACATATTTAAAACAAATTATTTGTGACAATTTTTCCTCCCAAAATTTTGTAAATTGCACAATGGCTTTGGTTTCATCTTCAAATGCGCCTTCTATTTTTGTACATATCTTACTACACTAGCAAATGTTTGCAATAATGTTCATCAAATAATGCTTGAACTTTATAACTTTAATTTTTTGACTATATGATTTCTTGTTCAATCTAATGTACAGAAAGACTGAAAAACTCTGATTTATGAAAAAAAATAATTTAATAATGCACTAATTGCATTGATAACCTCCTCATTATAAAAATTAAACTTTGAATGTGTGTTCATATTGACAACATTGATTAAAAAAAATTTAATATTTTTGCAGCTGAACCTCTTCCATTGATGGACTTATGTCGACGTGTAATCCGACAAAAAGTCGGAAAGCAACATTTAGAGGAGCGAGTGAAGGAATTGTCATTACCTCTTGCAATGAAATCATACTTGTTATATCGTGATAGAAGGTAATGTCAGAATGGTGACATGTTTAAATACCTTCAGAAATAACTAACAATATAAAAGCTAAAACACCATGATTATTTAAATAGTGATTTTAGTTTAAATATTTATGAAATGCAGTTTATTCTTAGTGAGTAACATTATTTAAGAAAGTAATTTTTTGAAGTGAATAAAATGAGACTTGTCCAACATGATACATAGTCTGCTATTACAAAAATATAATAGTGTAGTGTAGATATCACATTGTTTGAAGTATTCCAGTCAAAGATCTCATGAAATTATTTGAGTGGTGAGAAAAGTATAATTGTGATTAGTGTGTTATTCAAATGGTAAAGACAATTTTTATAAGCGAAAACTGAAGTGATTTCACATTGTGAAAATATTTACTAATTGTGAAATGTAAAACATTTCTGTGGCAATTATAGCTATACATGTAGTAAATCCATCATGCAGAGACTGTTCAAGCTTTAATATTGCATTTTTAAAATTCAGACAATTTTGAAAAAATTGATTACGTTTGTTCATCCAATCATTTTGCTTATCTAGCCTATTTTTTTTTTAACTGATATTTATTCTGCATTATATACATTTATATGTCATATTACATTATATATATATATCAAATTATATAACAAATTTCTTACAATATGACAAACTTGAACTGTTAGGTATCAGATGTTGAAATAACATTTTAGCTTATGTGTAAACGACATATATAAATATGGTTATTATGTGCCATTAAATGTTCCATTGACTTTTTTTATTATTTCATTTTAAATGTGAATTGGTAAACCTCTTGCAGATCAGGGTTTTTGATATGTGCTATTTATCATGCTTTTTATGTTATATTTTGATCCTTTATTCTTCAATGATTTTAAAAAATATCTACAATCAGAAATAACATGCTCGAAACAAATTTTTATTGGTTTAGTTTCTGTTTAATTTATTTTCTAATTTTGTATAACTTGATTTTATCAATTTTGAGTTCAATTGAATTTATTGAAAACATCTAATGTGAAGTTGAATCAAAATAAGTTTAATAATGAAAACATTATGAATAAAGATGTATATAAGTTCATTTCTAAAATAAATTATTCATTAATTTGAGAATTATGGCTTATAAAATTTAAAAAAAACAGCATGATTGTGCATGTTATTCTTGAAATTGAAATGAGTAAACAATGAGTGAAGATTAAATGATATGGACTTGAGGTGGGACATCTATTATATTTTCAATTAAACTTAAATCTATAACTCTCGTTTTCTTTTATCGGTGTAATATAATTAGTGGATGTCTCTGAGTCATAATTTAACATTTCTATTAAATTTTTACTTTTAATTAAGCATACAGTATACTATTATTATGAGCAAAATATGAATTTATTTATAATTTATGCGCTGTAAGATTAATAGAATTGCATTATTACATATGCAAGTTATCAAAGTCTTGATGATTATGACAAGCAAAGTTAAATTATCAAGTCAAATTAAACATGGCACTTCTATAACTGGGTATATACAGTTTACTTTTATTTTGAATAAACAAAAGTTATGAGTATTTTAATTTTGAATGCTTCCTTTTGTAGATATACATCAATTTAGTCTAGCTTTAATATTGACTGATGAATTAGTTAATCCGAAACCTTGGATGGATAGTGATTTAGTCCAAGATTGAGACAGTGTCTAAAATATGTATGAAATGTAATTTTTGGCACAGATTACAATTATATTTTTATATGTAAAACTTTAAGCATTATTATGCTTATTGGTGATCTAAATGACTAATTTTAAGATCTGAATCATTTTTTGTACATAGTTTTGTAATATGCAGTTAATATTCGTTATAGTTCAGTTTTGTATATTTCTAACATGAGTGTATATAAGTCATGACAACGATATTGGTGATAATGCTTTTTATGAAATATTTTTGCAATTATTTAATCATCAAGACAGATTTCAACCAACAGATTATACCAAAGTTCTGCGATTATAAATGCTTGATTGTTACTTATGTGAATGGTTACGTATGTATCAATAGCTCACTCGATTTAAAATTGTTCAGAAATATACAATACAATATTATAAACGATGGCTACATGCATATGAACAAAAGTTTCTTTGTGAGAAATTAAAATGATTTTGTTCGCATGAACCACATATGAATGAACCTTGGATTTGTATAGTTGTATATATGTGTGCATGGACATTTGTGTATGAATGTATTATCATATGTTTATATGTTTATTACCTATACTTATATATTTACATTTATATATTCGTATATGTTGAGACATATATAGCTAAATAACATATGCATACATGCCTATGAATTATTGATATATTCAAGCAAAGAATAATTTCATCAATTGAGGTGTGAGTGTTATGAACTGTAAATATATAATTAGTGTTTTTTATGTTGAACGTTAATTTCAATTTATTGATGCGCATATATGAAATTATTTTACTTTAATGATATTTGGTGTTATAATAGTTGATTCTTAAACATAATGTAAGTATCGATGTTTGTAGTGATAAATTATGAATTAAAATTTATGCATTTAAACAGTGTTTTAATGATTTACAAATATTTTGTTTGTGTAACATTCAGATATTTATATGATGAATTTTTTGGAGGGCGTAACATCAAATAAGAAATAATTATGGATTATCACCAGCCAATATTCAAATTTATGGGCCCAAAGCGACACTGAGGTCCGTCGCACGCCGTGACATAACAACTTTGCTCAGCGTTCGAAACTGAACAAATCACAAAATTCCTATATGCACGTGTGCGGCACGATTAACTTTGCAAGATGTTTAATAAATAATTACGTTGATTCTTAAATAAAAATAAAAAATTATTATTACAAATATATAAATTTATACATATAATTATAAATTTATATATTTGTGCGAAACGTACAATGTCACTACCACTGTCAGTACTACTGGTAGCAAAATTATCACTGCTTTGTAATTCATCACTAACAATTTTTTAATACATTATAATGGGTAATTTTATTAAAACTTCTTATAAACGATGTATTTATATGCCTCATCAAGTTTCGGAAATTTTTCATTTATGTTTCGTCCGGTAGACTTACGACGACTCTAAGGCGTTCTATTCGTGTTTGGGCCGATAACCTTGCGACGCCTCTGAGGCGTTTTTGTAAGCGAAAGGGTTAAAGCACGTAACATGTGAGAAATTAATAATTGGAATAAGAATCTTTCTTCCAATTAATTTCTCATCGAATATACACTTCGCTTTTATAATAGTATTGAATTGACTGAAAAATCATTTTTTGATATGTTTGAATAAACTGATAGATGGTTACTCTATATATTATTTTATATAAATGATTGAAACCCTGCTTTAACGTATATAAATATTTAATTTCATAATAAGAATCAAAGTATAAAGTGTTTGCTTGTAAAGTCTTGACCAGGGCCTATTATCTCAGAACAAAATCCACGTTGAGAAGGGCTACTCAGGGGTCCTATGGTAGTCGCAAGTTTGGCGCTAGTGAGCCGATGAAAAAGTATTATCAAATGTTTTATGTTGGTTATTAAGAAAGGTTAGTGTTATTTTTGTGTTGACAAAATGTGTTTCTTTTTTTCGTTTGTGTTTGTACATTTGTTAATAAAGATTTGTTCTAAAATGCATAGCCCTTTGACAAAATGAATAGAACAGTTTCAAACTCAGATGCAACACATAAATACTACGTAGTGCATTGACAGATTAGTCTAATTATATTAAACTTTGAGAAAAGAGGCCAGAAGTCAAGAATAAGCTTCAACAAGAAAGACAAAATATTGAGAAATCTTCCAGCTGTTGGATTGGAATTGGATTACCACTTCACACGGATCTGAATATACTCTGATTTGTGATTGCGGACTATCAGAAGTAGAAGGCAGGAAAATTATTGTAAAGACTTGAAACGTCGGGAAATTGAATCTTAAGAATCTTTTTCACTTTCATTATTATCTGATTGACAGCTTGACAGTGGAAAGTCAGATCAGTTGCCAGGGTGAAATTTGAATTTCATATGTATTGACATTTTTGTTTTAATTTAGTAATTGATCTTTTTTCATCGGCGCCGTCCTTAATTGTAATTGAAAACGTCAATTTCTATAATATTTATCTTAATTTATCATAACTATTATTTATATACATATTTCAAGTAGTATTTAAGGTCCGCCGGAGCAGAACCTGATTCTGTCGTCTCATCTTGATTTTTCTTGATCGCGGACATCGGGAGATAATGGTATGGTGCCTCTATCTTCTCCCGTTGTCTGCGGCCATTGGGGGGAGGGGGGGCACCGTCAGCAGGGGGCTGTCAGTTTTGTGTGTTGCATGTTGCATGCCGTGTATAGAATGTGTGAGCGAATGAGAAGCGATCGCTTTCGTCGACTTCGTAAGACCGGGCCCTGAGTCGACTAGCGATCACAGCGTGCACGATGAGGAGTTTGCGACTGATGTCGGACTTTGGAAAATCGGATTTCAAAGTCTTTGTCGATCTCTGTCGAGTGCATCGATCCTTTCTCTTTCTAGTCCAACCTACCGCCCTCTCCCCCCCCCTCGTGGTTGACACCTTATCGCGGTGAGGGGTTCCAGTTAGGCGATAACCGTCCAATTGCCAAGAGCAGCCGTCTTTACTAGTACTTATAGCCGTCTTTACTTACTACTTTTGTATACTAGTTATACTTCAAGGCATATTTTTTTTCACCTAAGTATATTTCAAAATGTAATCCACATTGTATGTAGTACATCGAAATACAAATTTAATTAAATTAATAAATATATTTACTTGTTCGAACTGCATCTTATTTTCGAAAGTTTACTAAATATGCGACAGATGCATCCCTAATTCGTATACGCATTTTTCAATACCACATACTCTATGAATGTGCCTAAGCTAACCGTTCATCGTTGTTTTTGGGTATTTGTTTACATTTACATTTTTGTTTGTTTTTGGGTATTAGAACTTCGATCTTGCTTCATGAAGATTCGACCGAAACTTTTGATTTTTTTTCAATTTGAAAATCAATGCGCTTTTGAAGCGAATGAAAAATGTGGATGTTTTGAATTGAGTGGAATTTTCTTTTTCCAAAACATTTTTTTTTCTTAAAAAGTGGAAAACTATGGACCATTTTTTCACAAAATTAAAAGGAGTAAAAAATGTGCATGTGGGTGTTTCCAAAGAATTTTTTCCCCAAAAATTTTTTTCCACAAAAAATCAAAAGTTCATGGTTTCTTCAAAAAAAATTTTCTCCATTTTTTTTTCCAAATTTTTTTTTTCCCATTTTTTTTTCTGATTTTGTGCTGAACCCAATGATATGATCACGGTCATTTTTATATAAATCTCAATGGTGACGTGATATATGAAATAATTCAATATGAGCAGTACAAATAGAAAAGATGAAAAGTAGAAAAAAAATTTCTAAAATTTTTTTGCCCAAAATTTTTTCTCAATTTTTGTTTGACAAATCCATGGTTACCGTTGCGCGCATGGAATTTTCAATTAAATCAATATGAATAACG